CTGAATGGTAGAATGAAAAACTTTATCGTCTGTAAGGGACCCCATCTTGGAGCTGAGTGGGTGGAGGTAGTTGCCTATGTCATAGCCCGTTAACGCAATATTAGTTTTATTTTCTATTACAATCATTGTCATAGATATAACAAAAGAGTGCTCTGTGGGCCTAAAAACAGTCACGGTTACAACCGGCCCACTGATCTAGAAAAAAAAGACTGGATCGAGTTTCTATTCTTCAAAAAATGAAGCCAAAACAAATCTCGCGGCTGCCTTATGGAGGGCCTTATGTGATGAACGCAGTGTGTCTATTTATAAGCGGAAACCATTTGCAAATCATGTTTGATGTTTTGCTGCATATATAGATGAAAGTGGATACAAAGTCTGTAGTTACTTGCTGCTTCAGACCTAAAAATAAAGGGATCCAAGATGTTTGACAGTTTATGCAGTTCAGTTCCTACAAGTGTAGATATCTTTAAGTCACAAAGTTTTGTATTTTGCATTTTGCAACCATACTAACTAACTAGCAGTTGTTAATAAAATGTATAAAATTTATCTTTTATAAGATTCAAGTGCAAACATAACCTGCCAAAAATCTTAGATCTAGGAAGAACCTTTTTTCAATGTTTATCAAATACTCTTGCCCACCCAACCAATGCTTTATCATCACTGATCCCAAAAAAATAAACCACTTTATTTTGTTCTCTACATTATGCAAGAAATCATAGATGATAATACAAATGTAGTAAAATCACGCAAGGCAATATGCAGGTCTATCTCACCTTTTTTCACGGACTCTACCCTCACTATCACTTCGTACGTAGTTTTCTTCTTTAACGTTTTCTCTTACTACAACCATAAGAAACACATTCTGTACCTTGCTTTCCCATCGTTTACACTTGATACCACTTCTCCGCACAGTTATTACAATACCGCAGTAGGGCCCTCCAATATGGCGCCGGTTGAAAGTCGCGGGCTTCAAAATCGGCGAATCAGAGACAATAGGTTTTTTTGAGATGGTGAACCGGCCCTGCAGGCGAGTGTATTTTCACCAACTCGTTTATTAATATCAAAGTTACAGTGTTACATGAGATAGACAATCCAGTGTATCACTTTTTTGTGTTATACTTGCATTAATCATTTGCTTTTATGTTCCTTCCACACAGTAACAAAGTAGAATAATAATAGATAAACAATAGAATACTTCAAACACATGCAAACGCACATTCACACACGTACGCAAACACAAAGTCACACACATATGCATATATATGGATGCACAGTCATAGATATAGATGTATAGATAGATGTATAGACAGATAAATATGAATAGAGAAATAAATGTGTGTATATACAATATACATATATATATTTGCGTATGTATGTATTTGTATATATATACATATATATGTACATATATGTATATACATATATATATATATATATATATATATATATATATATATATATATATCCCCTTGGTGCCGGGTACGACGTGTACGTACGTGCTATGCCCACAGTGAGTACTTGTTTGATTGTTTTTACGCATAGATGGCAACACTTGTACTAACTCCCCAATGAGCCAGTTACGAGCACCGCCCGTCTTGCCTGTTTACCCGTTTCTTTGATTTACAAAATATTTTACGTAATCTTATTTTGCTGTTACTAATGTTTAAAAAAATCATAAGAATTATAATGTTTATGATAAAAATAACACCATCGATTTTCATAGCACTATTGAAAAATACGTTTTTCCCGCCATTTAAATCAGGCGCTAGCAGAGCCATCTATCGGCAGACATTTCACGAAAAACATAGAAAGTGGGCACAATATTTTCCCCATTTTTTGTTCATTTTCCCCGGCACCATTGGGTTAAATCATATACATATGTGTATATATACAAAAAATACATATGTGTATATATGAAAAAATACATATGTGTATATATGAAAAAAATACATATGTGTATATATGAAAAAATACATATGTGTATATATGAAAAAAATACATATGTGTATATATGAAAAAAATACATGTGTGTATATATGAAAAAAATACATATGTGTATATATACAAAAAATACATATGTTTATATATACAAAAATGAATACATATGTATATATATACACATAAAAATATATGTGTATATATATGTACGTATGTATATAAATGTATGTATGTATATGTATATATATATATATATCAAAATAATCCGATTATTCAAAGACTTTGTTGAAATTATTTTAGAAAGCTACAACTGAGAATGTTTATCTTAATAAAGCACACTGGTGTTTTCAGCTGTGTAATCCAGAGAACCCGAGAGATTAGAATCCCATGTCAAAGTCCCCCATGTCCATGTCGAACCCACCGCCGTCGAAGCCGCCGTCGAAGTCTCCGCCCATGTCGTCTATGCCGCCCATTTCAAACCCTCCGTCGTCCATGAGTCCGGGATCAATGCCTGCGTCCTCCAGGAGCCCAGGGTCCACACCTTCTTCCTCCAGGAAGCCGG